AATTCAAGCCTCAAGTACAGGAATCATGCAAACATCTGAAGAATAGATGGATACAATCTACAAATGAAGCATTATTTTGAAGTTGGGGCATGTTACCCAACTAAAAAGTTATTTCGAAAAATGTGAAAACAATTTCCAATGTTTCTCATTTAATCTTTTCTGAAAATGAAATTGTTGAATAGTAAGAAAACGATTTCCAATGTTTCTTATTTAGTAAACTATTTCCCAAATTTGTAAGTCCTACGGGCCATCCATAAGACCTTCAGTGCAGGATGTTTTCAAATAGCAATTTATATCACTTGAGATTGATTTCTTAAAACAATCTGTTTCTCGCTGGAGAAATTTTCACTTGAAATAGCAATTTATCTCACTTGAGATTGTTTTTCTTAAAACAAACTGTTTCTCACTAGAGAAAGTTTCACTTGAAATAGCAATTTATCTCACTTGAGATTGTTGTTTTTCTTAAAACAAACTATTTCTCGCTGGAGAAAGTTTCGCTCGAAATAGTAATTTATCTTACTTGAGATTGTTTTTCTTAAAACATTTCAAGAATGAGTTCATAATCTGAAGGGCTCGTCTGAAGAGGAAGAAGAAGTTCATAGTCTGAAGAACTCATCTGAAGAGGAAGAAGGAGTTCATCATCTGAATCGTCTGAAGAGGAAGAAGAAGTTCATAGTCTGAAGAACTTGTCTGAAAGGGAAAAAAGAGTTCATAATCTGAAGAACTCGTCTGAAGAGGAAGAAGAAGTTCATAGTCTGAAGAAATCATATGAAGAGGAAGAAAGAGTTCATAATCTGAAGAACTCATCTGAAGAGGAAGAAGAAGTTCATAGTCTCAAGAACTTATTCAAACTTTTGGTTGACTTTATCGCAAAAGGAGATAGAACATCATCAACATTTCCAGACAGGAGTTCATAATCTGAAGAACTCATCTGAAGAGGAAGAAGAAGTTCATAATCTGAAGAACTTGTTCAACCTTAGCTCGACTCATCACAGAGGGAAATAGATCAACATCAACATTGTTCAACCTTTTTTCAAATCCATCACAGAAGGAGATAAATCATCATTCCTAGTGGAAAAGTTCATAACAAGAAGAACTCGTCCGAAGTGAGCGAAAAATTCAAAACGAGAATAACATATAGCTCAAAAGCTTGAACATTTCAAGCTAAAAATGGTGTTTTATGTCTTTGCTCCATTCATGTTCCACAATAATGAGCAAAGAGGGGCAGTTGTAATCACCATTTTTACCTCCCCATTCCAGCAGCTCCACGTTACAAATTCCTTCAGCTTCCAGCACTGCCAGCAGCCCCTCCACGTTGCAAATTCCAGTAGCTTCCAGCACTGCCAGCAGTCCCTCCACGTCCCCGTTCCAGCAGCTTCCAGCTAGCATCAACCGCACACCTCATCTCCCCTAAGACGACCACCGTCATAGGTGGGTGACTCACCGGGTTACCTTCCTTTAACCGGTCCAAAGAGAGTACGAATGAGCCTATAAAAAGCTCCATCGACCGAACCTGAAAGAGGAGACCACCAATAACACACAACTACAAAACCGAAAGAAAAGAGAAAAGAGTGAAGAAACTTACCCTCGAGGAGCCCAATGTCACCGGAGCCACCGTAAAATCGAAGGTAAAACTTCGGTTTCTTTTAGATCTACGAAGTTTGAAAAAACTTTAGGCTAGAACAACCTTAGATTTGGGTTTAGAAAAATTGGGGCTTCGATTTGGGGCATTTTTATAAAATTCGACCACCGTGGGTGGTGGCCGCCAGTGGCTGCAGGCGCCAGAGCAAGGCGGCAGGTCGGTGATCAGTTTCTCTCCAACGAGAGAAACATTTAGAGAGAAGGGAGAGGAAATCTCTCCTTAGAGAGAGAGAGAGAAGAAAGAAAATGAGAAGAAATTACCCAAGGGGGTCGGTTTAAGGGGTATTTATACTCTCACCAAAACGACGTCGTTTTGATGAGGGGTGTCTGTGTAATTTAAAACGTGGAAAAATCCTTTTCGCAGTCATTTGAAGTTTGTAAACTTCCATTTTAGCCACTAAAACCAATTTTTATATGTTTTAGTTATATCTTTTAATTTTGTTTTATTATAATTTAGTCACTACAATAAATTTCCATATATTTTAATTCAGTATTCAAATTTTATTTTATTTATAATTTACTCACCGTATATATATGTTTATATATTTAGGGTAAACACCATATTTAGTCCCTTATAATTTTAATTAATTTTATTTTAATCACGTATTAATATTTATGGCTAAATTACACTATTAATATTTATATTTTTATAATTATTCAAATTATGTCCATTAATTTAGATATTTTACATTTTAATCATGTTGTTTTAATTTTATTTATTTTAGTCATTGTTTAGTTGCATTCTAAGATAATTTTTATTATTATCCTTTAAATTTTAATTATTATTTTATTTTAGTTATATCAGTATATATTATTTGATTAATTTTATAAATTAATAATATTTATTTATTTTTAAATATTAAAAAAGGATGGTCTTAAAATAACTAGATGTCTTGTTCTGGTATTTTAAATAAATAAATATTTCGATTATAAAAATTATATATATTTAATTTAGTTTTATTTAAATTATTTTTTAGGAAAAATTATCATATTTTAAATATTTATTTATTTTTTAATATTAAGAAATTGATTGTCTTAAAAAAGTAGATGTACTTTTCTCATATTTTTAAATAAATAAATACTTTATTTATAATTTATAAAAATCATTTTATATATGTTTTTCTTTAAAATTATACGATTAAATCTGGAATAAGAGGATCATAAATTAAATTTAGATTCGAATTCTTAAATTCTATTATTAGAGACAATTTATAATCAATGGGTACCAATTTTGAGCGTTGTTGGGTGCTAATCCTTTCCCAAACGTAACCGACCACGAATCCTTTTTTATTATTAAAAAGAATGAATTTTTGGTTAAACGCAGACCGATTTATCTTTTGAATGAGGTTTTATTAAAAACTCTTTTAAAAGATAATTTTTAGGTATTCGATCTACCTAACCCAAAAGGTCGACGGCGACTCCAAAACATTTCATTAAAAACTATTTATTCGTTCACATTACTTTTCCACCAAGAAACCATTCGTGCTCGGGCAAAAACCGGTTCCGACAACATTGTTTCGTCGCCGATGTTGTTGGGGAAGTGCTTGGCAATGACAAAATTAAAGACAAAAAACTATAGATGGGATCTGAGGATTTTGCATTTTACCAAGAGACGATCCTCGAATATTTGTTTTCTTTGGAATACAAGATGAGAGCAGACCAAAACTCAAGTCAGTCCATACACCAACCTTCATGATCAATGAAGATGTACTTCATTATGGTGTTGCTCTTCATGCATCATTGCTACCACCCATCTCCTTGAAGCATAGATGAAATTTTCGTTCCATGTAAGGTAATTTACGCGACAAACTCTGAAGATTCTTTATTATTTTTCACCCTAAACGAAAGCTTCACCTTGTTTTCAAGAAAATAAACCTTATAAGATCAGGTTGTAACATGTCGATTTTGAATTAAATTATCACCTCAACTTAAATAATCAAATTAATAAAATACATAATTAACGAGGACTAAATGTGTTATTATAAAAAATACTTAAATGCAGATGACTTAATTAAAACCATATTAGATTTTTAATGATCTAATTGATAAACGATCTTATTTACTAATCGACATAGAACCCAATAATTTAGTGACTAGAGAGTTATTTTACCCAAAGGATTGTTACAATTGGCGACACTGGTCCCTTCAATCTTCAACCTCTTAGGTGGTGTTTGTTTTTAGTGTGTAAGGTCTGCAAAGCTCTTATGTCTGCGCCGCGCAGACCACGCGCAGACATTGGACTTCGTAGACCGTTTGTTTTTTAGAAGACATAAGCTCTTCTAACGTCTACGCGTGGTCTGCGGGGCGCAGACGTTGCTTTATGTCTGCAGAGGTCTTCTAACCTATTCAAAGAGATTTTATATTTAATTTTATATTATATTATATTTGATTTTAATTTTAATTAATTTTTTAAATAAATTAAATATTATTTTTTTAATATTATATTATAGATATTTAATTTATATAAAATTATTTATATATTATTAAAATTTTATTTATTTTAATTATTTTGATTTAAGTTTAAATGTAATATTTTTTTGGATTTGTTATTTTTAAATTATATTTAAACTTTTTATACAAAATGTAAGTATTTAAACCACATTTTTTAATAAAAAATAATTTCATTGTTTGATAATTAAGATTTTAAAATATAAAAATTTATAAATTACGTTTTTAAAATTTTAAAATATAATCACAATTAAATAAAAAATAATCATAAAATAATTTTATAAGTTAAAAAATATTTTCTAAAAATATCATATAATTATAAAAATAAATTATTAATATATATTCAAAAAAATTAAAAATATTACATAATTACATATTTAAAAAATCATATAATTTAATGATCATTTATAAATTTTATTCTATAAAACTTATAAAAATAATAATAAATGTGATTATGTGAGACTTAATAATAAATGTGATTATGTGAGACTTATAATAGAATTAATAAGGTGGTGTTTATTATTCTAAAAAAATTATTATTGTAGTTGTATAAATTATTTAAATTTCAGTATTGTAAAACTAAAATTATTTAAATCTCAATATTGCAAAACTCTTTTAAGTTTAAAAAATCAGTTTATTTATCTTTCAGTTTATTTTAACAGTCTACAGATGTTAAAAAACAAACAGTCTTATTTTTACAGACTGCAGACTTTTAATCTATCTCTTCTGTTGCAGATAACTATAGATATAATCCGTAGAATATAGACTTTTTACCTTTATAAAAACAAACACCACCTTATTCTTCATCACAAATCCTCTCTATTCATTGTTCGGACATTTTTTAATTGCATGTCTGACTCGAACTTCACAGTGAAACAACCACCAAAATCAACTCTTCAATGGCTGCGCAGATGGCTATCCGAGTTTCAGCCACTGCAAAGATTTCTCTTCCTCCACCACCTTCTTATTCTTCAACCTCAAACAAAGCTTCTTTAAGAACCCTATCTAAACCCATATCCACTTCCCTCTCTTTATTGGCTCTATTTTCACTTCCCCACGAGGCCAAAGCTATCAGTCTTAGCAAAGAACATATTGTTTCATCTCTGACTGAAGTGAGCAAATCAAGTTGATTACATGATTCTCTCACAACTTGGTGATACCCATTTTTTTGGTTCTTTGAATTACAGGTGGAGAAAACCATTGATCAAGTTCAAGAAGCGGGTTCGAGTGCCTGTGATGTTGCACAGCAGGTGTTTGGTGTTGTGGGGAAAGCTTTGAAGCCAGCCATTGATGCTGGGGTTCCTATTGCCAAGAAAGCTGGAGAAGAGGCTTTGAAGGTCGCTTCTCCGGTTATATCTGAGGCATTGAAGAAAGCACAAGAAGCAATTCAAGGAACTAGTCTTGATTCTGAGCCTGTGCTCACTGCTGCTAAGGTTCATTTCTCACACTTCTTTCAATTTCTCAAAGCTGCAATGCAAGGATGTGTAGTCGTAGTCGCTGAGTAAAGGACAATCGGTCAGTGTTGAAAAATCGATTTCTTTTACTCAACTCGAGAAAGTTTGATTGTAATTTCATAAATTCGATTCGAAAAATTTAAAGTTGAAATCAACTCGAATAATAACACGAATAATTCAAAAATTTTAGTAATTAATAGATTGATTTTTAATTTGAGTAAGCTTATCGACTCTGTATAATATATGTATATGACATAAAAAATATGAAAAAATATGTAGTATTATATATGGTTATAAAAAATAATTTAAATTGAAATAAAATAATATCATCATATTATAAATATTTATAATTAAATTTAAATAAAAACTCAAAAATTCGATTTTGACTCGAAAATTTTTTAATTCAACTTCGAGTTGTAAAATAAGACTCATCAACTAAAATAATTCGAATTTTTTTTACTCGACTCGATTAAACACTCATCACTAATCAATATTCATCCATGAAGATGTAGAGAAGTGAAGGCGACATGGTTTCCTTTAGGTTGCATCCTGTCTCTCTGTTATACTCGAGAGCAGAGACGAGATTAAGATTCTAGTTTAATGGGAATAAAGTGTAATTAAGAATAAAAAATAGAAGACGTAAAATTAAAATAATAAGATTTTTAATAACCCTTATTGTATGTCAATCGTAGGGTCAAAATATCTAGCAGTGTATATAGGTCATATTAGACTTCCATAGGTCACGTCAATTAATTACGATTTCTCCAAAGATATTATATATTCTATGTTTTATTTTTTTTTTAGAGATATTCCCTCTATGTCTTTCGGAGTTTCCTTAATATGTGAGAGTTAAAGATTTTTAGGGACCTCCATGTCTTTCGGAGTTTCCTTAATATGTGAGAGTTAAAAATTTTTAGGGACCTCCGGTGGTTGTAGGCGCAACAGCGTTATGCGGAGGTCCTTTGATGGGGTACAACAAGTATATTTAAAGAGTTGCTTGTAAAGCTTGATTTATGTTCTTGTCACTGCCAACTAATTGAATGTCTGAAAGGCTTTAGCTATTTTTACTGTTCGATGCAAATGGATGTCTGTAAACCTCATGCAATGATGACTTTTGTTGCAGACCGCTGCGAAACAAACTACGGAGGTGATCGATGTAGCCAAGCCTCTAGCTTCTTCGACATTCGAAACCATAACATCTGCAGAGCCATTAACAATTGTAGGATCTGCCGGTGCATTATTCGTGGCATACCTCCTCTTTCATCCCATCTGGTCATTCATCTCCTCTCCCCGGTGCAGAGTAACCATTTTCTTTTGTTTTCTTTTTCTGGTCTGAATCATGTAATCTCTTGTAATTCTTTCATTAATATTACTGACATACTCTGATAGTTAAAAATAATCTATCTACTATTCGGATTTTAGACGACCTAATAATTCAAATATGAATTATTTGTTCAAGAAGACTTATTTAGATTACCAACTAACATAATTTGCATTCTATATTAACTTATAGTTAATTAAACTGTTAGATAATCAATAAACTGATATTTTTTTAACATTGGTTTACATGAAATTAAAACTAATTATACATTAAATGAAAATAGAATTTATTGGTAAAAATATACACGTGCTTTTATTTTCCTAATTTTAAACTGTTGGTAAAGATTGTGACGGAGTTGGTTACACAGCGTGATCGGGTGTCGGATTTTTCCGTCGCACGACGCTGCAATTGAAGTTGAAGATGATGAAGACAATTATGAGGATGCCTAGGTTAACGAATGCCAGAAACCTCCATTGTTTCCGAAGGTCGTCTAAAAATCCACCCTTGCAAGACTTGCAATCGAAGCAAAGCTTGTTCTTGTCGTTGCTCCAAGTGAGGCAGTCGCTGTCGGGGACGTCGGGTCCCGACTTCGGCATCTCCCAAGACTTGTAAATGGGCGGCTTGCAACAACCGGACTAAAACACAAGAAGAAAATTTTAAGGTTATAAATAGCTTTACAATCATTGTAATTACAAATTGTCGTAACCGATTTTCGCCCGAACACGAATTTATTTGGATGAAAAGTATTTGAATAAATGGTTTTAACGAAACGTTTTGGAGTCTCAATCGATCTTTTGGGTTTGGTAGGGTGGAATACCTAAAAATCATATTTTAAATGAGTTTTTAAGAAAAGAAACTATTTAAAAGATAAATCAGTCTGCGTGTAACAAAAAATTCATTCTTTTTAGTAATAAAAAGGGATTCGTGGTCGATTATGTTTGGGGAATGATTAGCATCTCCACAAAGCCCAAAATTGGTATATGTCGATTATAAATTGTCTCTGGTAGTGAAAATCTAAGAATTCGAATATAAATTTAATTTTCGATCCAATTATTTCATATTCAATTGCATAATTTTATTTAAATAAAATTCAAAATAAAATATAAAATATTCCAATATTTCCAATCGAAAAGAAACTAATCCCTAAAATATTTTAGGACGAATATTTCTCTTTCCGACCGAAATAATAAGAATGTGATAATTCTCCCTAAGAAATAATTTGATATAACCAAAACTAAAGTAAGTATATTTTTTAGGTTGTTATAAACATGAAATTTATTTATTTTAAAATACCATAATAGGACATCTAGTTACTTTAAGATAGTCTCTTCTTTAATATTTAAAAATAAATAAATATTATTATTTTACTCAAATTATAAAATAGGTCAAGTTATACCTATAAATGTTTCATATAAATATTAATATGACTAAAATGAAATAAAAATAAAATAAAAAGTAATAATTAAAGTATTAAAATATTGAAACATAAAAGGTAATAATAAAAATAAAATAAAATTGCAATTAAACAGTGACCAAAATAAAGAAAATTAAAACTATAAGATTAAATTGCAAAATATCTAAATTAATAGTCCTAATTTAAAATATTATGAAATATAAGTACTATTAGTGTAATTTAACCATAATTAATTCATGATCAAAATAAAAATTATTAAAATTATAGGGGCTAAATAGGTTATTTTACCTATATATATACGGGTAGTGACTAAAATATAATAAAATAAAATGCGAAGAAAAAATTAAAAGACATGGAAAATCAATTCAGTGACTAAAATGGAAGATTACAGAACTCAGAGGGACTGCGGATGTGATTTTAACCATTCTCGAATTTACACATACACCCCTCGCCAAAAAGGCGTAGTTTTGGTGAGGGTATAAATACCCTTTAACCGGCCCTAAAGGGCCAAATTCTCTCATTTTTCCATTTTGCTTTTCTCTCTAAAGAGAGAGAAGCCCTTCTTTCTCTCTAGGATTCCCTCACCGGAGAGAATTCGACCACCGTCAGCCACCGTGCTCCGACGTCGATCGCCTCCGTCGACCACCGTTCATGGTGGTTAGAATTTACAAAATTTTGCCAAATTAAAGCCCGAAATTTCCTAAACTCGATTCCAATCCCCTTTTATCCTAAAAACATTCCAATCAGCCTAGATCTAAACTTTTACCTTCGGTAAAATAGCGTTCCCGATGACGGTTGGGCTTCAACGAACGTAAGTTTACTTTGGTTCTTCTATTTGTTTGTTGTGTTCCTCTGTTTTTCGTTGCTGTTGGTGTATTTGTTTTTTTTTCTTGCAGGAGATGGATGGTCTTTTTATAGGCCCCTTCGTATGCCCTTTGGACCGGTTACAAGGATGTCCTTCGGTGAGTCACCGAAGCTATGGTAGTGACTCACCCTAGGGTTGCGATGTGTCCGGCTTTACTGGTGCCTCTGGAATCTTTTGGCAAGGCAGCATGGCAGCAGTTGGAGTGGAGCGCTTGGAGGCGGTGGCCGGCGTAGACCCTAGGGTGTAATGAAACCCTAGAGTTTCTGTTGGAGACATCTGGATCATTGGATATCACCAGATCTAACGGTTGATGGTTTCTGGCGGCGTTGGTTGAGATAAAAACCCTAATCGGGTTTAGGGTTACTATCTTGGGCCGATTCAGATTGTCTGGGCCTGGATCTGCTTCAGGTCAACATGGGTCTGGATCGGGTCTGCTATAATGGGCCTTTGGGATTGGGCTTTAGGGTTTGTAAATCAATTGGGCCGGTAAATGTATGTGTTATTTATTAATAATAATATAATAATAATAATATTAATAATAATATTAATAATAAAATAAAACGGGACAAAAAAATTAGTGTTTACGCGAATGTTTAAGTTATTGTAAATTTGTAACAACAAGGATATCAATTAAGCATGATCCATTTCCTATAAGATATTTTTCGCTAAAACACATCAAGCTATACAATCATGAAATAATAAATGAACAATCAAATAGCCTTACTTGTATCGTTGAAAACTTGTGCTTCACGAAACCTAAGAGATGTGGGTCCCTATGGAGGGTTTTGCAAATATGGGATTCGCTCAAGCAACTCCGAGCCTCTTCCCAATGCCCGTTATCCACGAAGTTATCTTTCAACCAATTCGAATATCTTTGAGTCGAAGCGATCTGACTCCCATCCCGGCGACCTTCTTAGACAACGCCCTGTTCTAGATGATCAAGGCGAAGAAGGTCACACAAAACAAAGCCAATATGATCAAGATCAATAGAATCGAGTAAATTGTCAAGAAAATGTCGGTGTTTTTAAAACAAGAGCCGAGGAAGGCAAACACCGATATAACGATGAAAACGAGGCCGGTTATCAACAAATGGTTTCGGACGGCTGCGGCTGAAGTAGATGGAGCCCGCGACGGCGAACAGACCTAGAACGAGGGGAATAACGTTTATACAATTGAAAATGGCGTTGCGAACGTGAACCATTATTCCCCTCTCGTTGAGGATTATTTCTTGTTTTTTGCCATTCTTAGAACTATTCTTAGGTTGATTTGTGAAGATTTTAAGGAGTAAAATAATAGCAGGTAATTTAATTAGTTCCCGTTCTTGTTGTTGTTACTAAATAAAACATTATTTTTAACTAACATCAACAAAATACGAATGTCTTGTGTTAATACACATTTTTAACATATTAAAATTTATAAAAATATATATTATTTTAAATTCAATTATGATATTATCCCTTTATAGTGTTGAAACTTGAAATTACGCAGACAAACCTATTATAAATCTGAATTTGAAAAATAAAAATAAATATGTACATAGTTCAAATTAATTAATGATTCTATCTCTACAAAATCTTATTTAAAGAGAAATTTACTGTTAATATTTTTTTAGACAAGAGATATAACGTAACTACATAGGTTAATGTAGACGCTCATCATACAATATCATCTTAATTCTTTCCCCTTAACTAATCCTTATTTATTGCCCAACATTTACTATAAATGCAGCCTTGAAAATTCTTAGTTGCACAATTAAAATGTTTCTTCAAGAAACTGATTTTTAAGAAATAATAAAATTCTCTTAAATAATATAATAAAACTCTAGTTAAAACTAGATAACCTTTAAATAGGAATAATGCATTTTTGATAAGTTTTGGGACAGAAGTGTTCTTCAATTATCTTTAATTATTTTAGAGGTTTTTTTTTCCATAAGTGATCAATCAAATATTTATTTTTTAAATAAATTTTTTTAACGAAATCGATCTAATATTATTTTGGGAAAAAAAATTTCGTATAAGATGGTAGAGTGATTAATTTCTCATTTAGAGGGAATGTTACAATGCTCCATAAAAGATGCTCAAAAGCTAAAAGTCACAATGATTTTAGAAGACATCCATATAATACGACGTTTTTGATATTTTATGAGGAAACATAATTTTATAGAAATGCATGGAGTTTGGAGAAAATGTGTCTAATGAGAAGAAAACGTGTCTTCTAAGCCTTTTTTTTTCTTTCCAAAAGTTATTAAATTTTTTCATCATCTTTCATAGAACAATGTTAGATTAACTCTAAATGAGAAAATAATCACCTTAATACCTCATATAAAAATTAATTTTTTTTCAAAAACATTATCGTATTAAATTTGCTAAATATCTTTTCCTAAACTCCTGAGCTGCTCTGTTGTTATTTCCCCTATTTTTTCCATCGTCGACGAAAAGGAAAGAGGAAGAGAAGGAAATGAGAGGCGAAAACGAAGCAGAGAAGTCGCAGTATAAGGAGACAAAGAGGAAAAAGATGTTATCCATTGCCAAACCCCTAAAGCAATTCGTCGAAAGTTGTCCCCATTCGCCGTGAATCGACGTTTGTTTGTTCTCCAAAAACCTAATCCACCGCCGTAAGTTTTCACGATTTTGCACCGATTCTGCCACCGTCGTCGTCACTGATTTTCCCACTCAGTTTTGACCAAAACCTAATCGAGTTCATCCCCTCCCGTCGTCGATTTCCCCGACCGCTGTTGGGTAAGCTTTCGGGTGTTCTAATTAAATTTTCTTCGACATTGGCTGGTTTATGGGGATAATTTGAGTTGGATTTGTTGTTTTAGAGTTTTTAGTTAATCGGTTGTCATCCATGTGCCCTTGTCTTGCCGAATGCTTCACCATGTGCCGTCATCACATGTGAGCTTCTAGGTCAGCCTAAATTGTTTAGAAACTGAGTCAACTCACTGAGTCAACTGGTGTTGAGTTAACTCGCACTGGTCTGACCCGTTGACTTTGACCAAAAAGGCAATTTTTTTGAAAAGTCATATTTAATGTTTTTCAACGTCCTGAGTCCGAATCTGAAGTTTGTTTTGCCAAATTCTAAACCGAAAGAACTCAAATTGAGCGTTGAATCCCGAACATGCATATGTATTTAATTATTTTATTCATGTGCATTTAAATTAAACTCAAGGACTGATTTATGTTATTAATTAATGAAGGTACTCGAGACTCACCCGACTGCTCGTTAGTTCGACCTAGCTCCTTTCGATCCATTTGGCTTCGTGAGCTCATGACTACTCGTATAGTTTTGTGAACCCTATAAATAGTGAAATTTAAATATTTCTTCAAGAGTAAACTGAATTCATTATGGTTTAGGTTCGAGCACTGTTGTTGAGCATAGAGAGATTGGTGCTTAGTAGACTTTCCGATCTGATTTCGCTTTGCGAGGTGTATACCTTGTGTGCTATATGAATGTTTCACATGTTTTATAATAGAATCGATTTATTTGTTCTAAAAAACAATTATTTATTTGATTTGATTTTTGAATATTTTATCTGATCAATATCATGAGTCCTGATTTACTGATCTCACTGTGTTTTTTGATACATGTTCTCTGATTATCTGTTTTACTAAGACAATTAATTATAACTATTTTGAGGAATTTTGGAGTTCTGTATACTTCCTGAACTATTTATTGCGGTATTGTCTAGGTAGGTATATTGAGTTCTGAGGTTCAACTAGCTGGATATTCCTTTCTGTTCTGTTCTGGGGAACTACATTTTTGGTGTATTTGTGGAGGGTAGTTATCCATTCTAAATAAACCCACTAATACTTTTATAGTAGTTTATTGAACTATTGTTGAGTTAATCGATCGACGAAATATCCAAAAGGATGGTGAATTGGCAATAAAAAATTTGGTGGAAGCTTTTGCAGAAAATAGAAAATAATTGCACATCGATTTAAAGTGGTTAGACTTTTTCAACTAAAATATACATCCACTACCTTAGCTATCCACATTAAGGATTTTCCACAAATTCACTAATTTTTATTTCTTTTGAGGACAAAGAGTAACCTTACAAATCCCTCAAGAATTATACCGCAAATTCTTAAGAACACTCTCTCCTAAAAAAAGAATACAAATTTCGCAAACTCAAAGAAAAACCTCACAAGGCAAGATTTTTGCACAATTCTAGAACAAAGAAAGAACACTAAAAATGAATACTATTGAGTACAAGTAGTGTTCTTGAAATCAAAATGAATCTTGAATGAAAATTGGCTTGAATTGCTCAAACTTGATGTTTAAGGCTTTCTCTTTGTTTCTCTCACAATTGTTGTTGATCAATGGCTCCTAAGCTTGTTTAAATACACCTTAAATCACTTCTAAACATTGGGGGATCATTGGTGAAGTCAATAGAGCAGTTATGGAGTAATTATCATTTAAAAATCAGTTGGGAGCGTAGGTGCATCAGTACACTCTCAAGGGTGCATCTGTACACTATGTGTAAAATTAAAATATTTTGACCGTTAGTTGACCTAGTGTATCGGTACACTTGGGTTGCATCGGTACACTAATTACATTCGATGTTTCAAATAGAGCTAGGAGTGCATCGATGCATTATCTGTGTATCGGTACATAAAATGCATTCAATGTTGGGAGTCGATCGATGCATCCAAGAGTGTATCGGTACATCCCTTGGTAAAATTGATTTTTGGCTCGATTTTAGTTCGAAATACTTTGTAAAAATTGTTTCAAAAATATTGTAACTTTAAAACACAATTTTACACTTTAGTAAGTATTGAAATTGACCTTTGAAAAACTTGGAGTAATATTTTGATATTCGAATAATTTAATCGAATATAATTTAAAAATTATATAAAATCTTAAAATTCAATAACACTTAATTTGTTATATCGAAACATCAAAATGTTTTCAACAATCTCCCCCTTTTTGATATAACAAAACATTTGAGTAATTTTAAGATTTTCTTTCAAAACTCATTTTTGAAAAACAATTTTGATTACTCCCCCTTACTACATTCTCTTCCTCTTTGTTAAATCAAAAAGACTCTATAAAAGGGTTTTAAACAAGATTTTGTAAGAATATAGCCAATTGATTTAAAAATTTAAATCTTAAGCTGCTAAGATCACAATGAAGAGAAAGATTAGCCATTAGTTCCATAAATCAATATTCATAAATAATGTGTAATGGTAATTGGTCATATATCAACTAATATGTAAATGATGCAAATACTAATAAAACCAATATAAA